CCCCAAAACCCCAAAACCCCAAAACCCCAAAACCCCAAAACCCCAAGGGAAGGTGTATATGTTGAATTTTAGGAGAGGTTTTTAAGTGAAGTTAGGACAGAAGGGAAGTTTTATGTTTGATGGTGTAAGGATGATACCACATCACTAAATAACTTTGTAGCATTATCTCTAAATATGACTACTCCGTCAGAACAAATTTTATACTCTAGCTCTATGCTAACCTTCTCTTCTTAAGCTGAAAAGAGACATCTAAGAGCACCAAATTTAGGCCATTCTTATGAAAAATTAAAGATAATTATTAGATACTTTAGTATACAAGAGCTCCGTTCAATACCAAATTGCTCTAATTATTGATAAAGGTATTGACGAGCCTCTTTGGGCAAAGTCATTGTCTAGAAGATTCCTTTGAAAGAGTGCCTCTGACACTCTTCTAAGAGAAAATTTTTCCTAGCTTCCATTTCTTGAAAAGCCATTTCTCAGATGTCTTCTGAAAATGGCTTCTGAAGCCATTCAGACTCCAGGATGTCCTGGACCTGAGGTCTTCCAACATCGTTCTCTTCAGTCATCTCTTGGATAAGCTCGATGACTTCAGAAGAGAGATGAGAGAATCTCTTGATCTTCTGCTGGTCCAATTTTGGTGCAGAGGTTCAATCCTCCATCTCATCAGACTCTTTCGTTTCGAAAGAGTGGCCTAGATCAGAAGGAGTAGGAAACTCTCCTGTGAGCATCACGAACAATGTGATTCCAAGAGAGTACATATCTGATGAGAAAGCATCATATTCCTCTCCTGGTTCCAATGACTTTACTTCTGGAGCCATATAGAGAGGAGTTCCTCTCCTATGGTCGAAGAATCCATCATTGCTCCCAACATGAGCCGAAGATCCAAGATCTCCTAATTTGATGTTGAAGTATTCATCAAGGAAGATGTTCTCAAGCTTGATGTCTAAGTGAGCGTACTCTTTTGAGTGCAAATGTAAGACTGCATATAGAATTTGAGTGATAAAAAACCGGGCGAGTTCTTCTTCTAACGGTCCTGTATTTCTTACAATATTTGATAGAGACCCATTAGTTGCAAGTTCAGTAACTTGATAGATACATTCTTCACTCCTCCCATCAACCTCTAATACTCCATTTGGGTTGACTTCATAAGACTGTATAAGGTTTGAGTGTCCATGAAGCTCACTCAAAATTTGGTGCTCTTTACAAATCATCTGAGCTCCTTGCCTGTTATTATATTCCTTATCCTTTCGAAGGATCTTGATGGCATAGTCATTACCATCAATATCAGTTGCTTTGTAGACCAAGGAGCTTCCTCCTAGGCCAATTTTTTCGATTAGCTGATACTTATTGTCAATCATTTAATTTTTTAATAATTAACTTTTCTTGGAATTTTAAATTCATTTCTATGATTGCCAGGTCCAATAAAAGTTTGTGCAGAAAAGGAAGCCACAAGAGAGCCAGACGAACCCAAGGTAGCGCATAGTAACTATTCTTCCCTGATATCGACTAATGATGAGGTTTTAAGGCTCTAGATATAATATTAAATTTTCCTGCTGAGAGCAGTAATGTGCACTTTTTGGTGTTCAAGTTTACTTAAAAATAAGAGATCTTATACTGATTGGTAAACAGTAATTCATCATCTTGGGAGGTTATTAAGTTCTTAATAGGTATGATACAAATTTTTTTTCTTAGTTTTAGACAGAGCTCGTAAAAAAACAATTTAAAAATATTCCTTCTCTCTAATAGTCAGAAAAGAGAGAAATTTTTAAATTGGGAGTTTTTAAATGATCTGATTTTGGAGCCTAATTTAGCATAAATATTATGAAGCTAGAGGAGCCCTACGTATATATAATTGACATTAAAGATCCAAGAGATGTACAGCTCTTTTGCACCTCACATAAAAGAGGGCCAGCTAACCTCTCAAGCAAGATACTTTTGTGTTTAAAATTATGAACTTTCCATCTATGTCTAAATTCTGACTAAGAAGCAAAATTCAGCAAATTTTTCCAGAGTAGCGAAGACCTATCCTTAATTAACAATGCCAGATTTTCCCTTGTTTCTAAGACTCTCTTAAGAGCAGTTTCTGATTTCTAAATTGTATGTCTACCTCGGTCTTCCACTACACAATTGCCAGAAATTGTCAGAAGAAGACTCTGTGTAACTGCCAGTTCATAACTTTCATTAATACAAATTTGCAAAGAGTTAGAAATTGACTGAAAATCTCTAAAATTTTAAGATTCACCTAAAATCAGAAATATTAAGAATTCTTGCTTTTATTGTTCCGATAGCAATTTCTCAATTCTGGTGTCACTTGAAGGAATATTACAAATCCTTCCGAAGAGCATCTGGAGCCTGCGTAAGCTTTAAACAATAGGTTGAAGAGGATGCAGTCATATAACTTTAAGAAGTAACCCACAGGCTGAATTTGGTACAACTAATTTTGGCACCAAAAATTAGACTTTTTAGCTATGTTAGGAATTAAATATGGAATTACTCATTTCCTAAAATCATAACACAAAAGTCTTTAAGATCTCTCAAGTACAGGGCTAAGTCATATTAGTAGTGTGTGCAATTTAACCAAAAATCTTCCTTTGATGCAAATATTTTGTTTCTCCTAAACTGATATTGCGTGTTAAAACTCTTTTGTCATGTCAAAAATACTAACGATAGTTAAGCTATCAAGGATCTGAAATCATGGTATGAGCCATAATGCCACATCTTCCATTAAGTTTTAGAAATTTCATGTTCATAATACCAATACGGATTTCAAAACTAAATCTCTTGAAAAGATTTCCAGAAATTATTGTTTAAAAGACATCCATTCTACAGCCAAAATATCTCATTTCATGCACGAAAATAAGTGTTATTTTTGGTCTAAAACAATTGCAAAGACTACAACCTCTAAACTAGGGCCAACTAGACCAAGCCCTGTGACACCATTAACAATTTCTTCCATGAACCACCGAGTCAGGAGGAGGCATTCCAACTTGGAGACCTGTGAAAGGTCTCCACCAAAATTAGGACATTGGGCACCAAAAATAGTACTCTCAGTATTAGTAAATTAAAGATTAAGTCTCAATATTTAAATTCAAAGTAGGGGTTTTGGGGTTTTGGGGTTTTGGGGTTTTGGGG